GACCCCATGTTATAAGGGCTCGGATACCCCACATTATATTCGGCCTTGTGCTTCATTTGACAGCGTGGGGCATTTGGTATATGTCCTACAGTTGGAGATTCGTCTCCAGCTGTGCTGCTCAAACTTTCTGTCGAAGGGGAGAGTCTCGTCTCAGGAAACTGCGGCCCAACCTCGTTTTATACGGGTCTACGAGGAATTTTTAACTGAGTATACGGGCTCGTATACCCCACATTAAATTCGGCCTTGTGCTACATCTGACCGCATGGAGCGGTTGGTAAATATTCTGCAGTTGGAGATTCGTCTCTAGCTGTACAGGTCAAACTCTCTTCCGCCTGGCAGAGAGGATCCCCATACAAAGGTACGTCGAAAGGCAAAGCCTCGTCTCGGGAAACAGTTACCCGATCCCGGTTTATACGGTGTCTACGGGGAATTTTTGGCCGAGCCTTCGGGCCCGGATACCCTACATTAATTTGGGCCTTGTGCCACATCTGACTGCATGGGGCAGTTAGTAGATATTGTGCACTTGGAAATTCAGTGACTCACTTCTAGCAGTTGACTATTTCTTCTACCCGCCGCTGACGAATCTTATATGTGTTGTTCTTGTCCTAAGTATTATCGTTCAATACCAACCTCCGTTTGATTATTCTATTCAGTAACCTTCTCTAGGTTACAACATAAATATATTCAGTTAATTGGTTTTGAAATTAAAAATGATAATAATTCCATAACCAACAACTGTATATCTTCCCCATGATCCAAAGAATAAAGTAACAGTCGATTGAAATACAGAATTACAACACAATGATTTCACCTTGCTTCCAGAAAATATTCTTTTCTCAATGTCGAAGCCAGATGAATTCGAGGTGAGGAAAGAGGCTATAAAAAATTTGTGCATTATATACGCAAACATTTATTCATATTTAATTAGTTATATCAATTTACAAGACAAATTTTAAAATTTCATTCAAATTACATCACAAAACCAAGTATGAGTAAATTTTCGAAGAAAAATATTTTTTTGTTTTCAAAGTTGCGAGCCACCAAGGAAGAGATTTTTAAAAAAATTACATTTATCAAATCTGAAGCGACTCAATGGTCAAATTTGATTGACCTCTCACAAAATGGACTCTGCGAAGCTTCACTTGCAGAAGGTTTTTCAGTTAATGAACTGCAAGAGGTTCTAATAAATAGAACCATGTTGAAGTTTTCTTGGACATTCCCAGGGCGCAGAAAGTGCAGTTAAATTAACTACTGAAGTTTCTCAAATCTTTTATGGACAAGATGCATGCCACAAGAACATTATTACTAAATCATTGTGCCATCAAATAAGACCTTCATTTACTTGAAACTGAAATGATACTGAACAATTTAGCTATATTATGATGTAATATGTTATACAGTGCCCTAATTTTAGTGCGATTTTCAATAAACAATGCAAATTTAAAACATTTTGTCTTATAATTTGTGTCTAATAGTATAATGTTAGTATCTATATTTTGATTTATTCTTTGTTTTTATTAATTATGACCTATTAAGTGGTGTAGGTGAAGGTTATTTTTTTAAAGATTTTTTTCATTATACTGCAATTATATGTGTACATTTTTCAAATGGCGCCACATTAAGGTAAGTCGATTTTAGAAACGTCGTTTTTGCATTCAATTTGAAACTTAAGATTTGACATGGTAAATAAGGATTAAAATATATATTTCAAAATCGTTACCATTTTTTGATGAAAAGAATAAGTTTTGTTTCATAATTGGAGTATTGGAATTTTCTTCTGCTGGCCAGTGAAATCCTTATCGTACGGCTTTATAAAATTTATAGCACGGCCTTATAAAATTTATATTCAAAACATATGCTGTAAGTTGGTTTGAAATTAAAAATGATAATAAATTTAATAACCAACCACTGTAGTAGTCAGAGAATAAAACAACTGTCAATTGAAATACAGAATGTTGAATTAGAAAATTACTACACAATGCTTTCGCCATGCTTGCAGAAAATATTCTTTTTGAAATCAGATGAATTCGAGGTGGGGAAAGAGGCTATAAAAAGATTGTCCATTAGATATGCAAATATTTATTCATACTTGATTAGTTATATCAATTTACAAGACAAATTATAAAATTTAATTCAAATTACATCACAAAACCAAGTATGGGTAAAATTACGAATAAAAATATTTTTTTTTGTTTCAGAAGTAGCGAGCCACCAAAGAAGAGATTTAAAAAAATTACATTCATCATCTCTGAAGGGACACACTGATGAAATTTGATCTCTAAAGGGACACACTGATAAAATTTGATCTCTAAAGGAACACACTGATGAAATTTGATCTCTGAAGGGAACTCTGATGAAATTTGATCTCTGAAGGGACACACTGATGAAATTTGATCTCTGAAGGGACACACTGATAAAATTTGATCTCTAAAGGAACACACTGATAAAATTTGATCTCTAAAGGGACACACTGAAGAAATTTGATCTCTAAAGGGACACACTGATGAAATTTGATCTCTGAAGGGACACACTGATAAAATTTGATCTCTAAAGGGACACACTGATAAAATTTGATCTCTGAAGGGACACACTGATGAAATTTGATCTCTAAAGGGACACACTGATAAAATTTGATCTCTAAAGGGACACACTGATAAAATTTGATCTCTGAAGGGACACACTGATGAAATTTGATCTCTAAAGGGACTCACTGATGAAATTTCCTCTCTAAAGGGACACACTGATGAAATTTCATCTCTAAAGGGACACACTGATAAAATTTGATCTCTGAAGGGACACACTGATAAAATTTGATCTCTAAAGGGACACACTGATAAAATTTGATCTCTGAAGGGACACAGTGATGAAATTTGATCTCTAAAGGGACACACTGATGAAATTTGATCTCTAAAGGGACACACTGATGAAATTTCATCTCTAAAGGGACACACTGATGAAATTTGATTAATCCATCATAAAATGGATTTTGTGAACTTGTGTTTGCAGAAGATTTTTCAAATAATGAACTTCAAGAAATTCTAATAAATGGAACAACATTGTAGTTACCGAATTTATTTACATATTCGCAAGGTGTGGAAAGAACAGGTAAATTAATTACTGAAGCTTTACAAATTGTGATTGGACAAGAAGCAAGACATAAGCACATTATTACTAAATCATTGTGCCCTCAAATAAGACCTTCATTTACTTCAGAGAGAAACTATCCTGAACAATTTAGTTATATTATGATGTAATATGTTATATAATGCAGTAGTTTTAGTGTGATTTTCAGAAAAAATGCAAATTTAAAGCATTTTGTCTTATAATTTGTGACCACCAGTATTATTGTGTTGTATACACATTCATCTATTTTTTATTTTTATTAATTATGATCTAACAAATAAAGTAACACATCTTATTCAATGAGGAAACTTTTTTGTAATCTTACATATTTTACACATTTTTTACTTATCGAATACAGTAAAAAATACCTGCATATTTTTTTCTCGTGATGATTCATAATTAGAACTCAGTTTTGCATACAGTTTCCATTCAATGTATCTAAGACAAAAAAAATATAAACTTTATTTGGATTTATTCTTGAAATATTAAAATTTTGAAGTCAGTTTGTAAACAAAAACCCACGGAAATTAGGTATTCCTGTAATTTTTTTAAGACAGTCTTTAAAAGAAGAGATGTCCCACTGAGTCAGCTCGTGACACAAGCTCAGTTTTTAACGTGGGGGCCTGAGTATTTTCACTGGTTTAATCTGGTGTTAGCTGGTAATAACTTGTCCAAGCTCGTCAGAGCTGGTCTAAGCTAGTCATAACTGGTCCTGGCTGTTCATAGCTTGTCCAAGAACCCGTCTAAGCTTATCATGGCCAATAATAACCCCTGACCTGTTGTAGGGAAGAATGACAAATTTTAAAAGTAAATGCCCAAAAATTGGTAATAGCAATAGATCTAATTTTTGGTTTCAGTATTGTTCACATCAAACACCAGCTTTTATATCGAGTGCAGTGTGGATTAACTTAAAAAATCAACCTGCTCTGTTGTCCAAATCTGAACCGAAAATTAAAGATAAAGTAAAAATGTTATTTTTTCTTTAAGGAAACGAGTTTAAAGATTAAGTTTAGGTTCAAAATCGTAGCGTTGAAATTATATTTCGGTGATCAATGAAAGCCTTACAACACAGCCTTATAAAATTTATAATTTAATGAATATTTACAAACTGTATATGGACAAGATACAAGGCAAAAGGCTATTATTACTAAATCATTATGCCATCAAATAAGACCTTCATTTACTTCAGAGGGAAATTATCCTGAACAATTTAGCTATATTATGATGTAATATGTTATATAATGCAGCAGTTTTAGTGTGATTGTCAGTAAACAATGCAAATTTAAAGCATTTTATAACACAATCTGTGCTCTAGCAGTATTATTGTCATATAGACTGTTATCTATTTCTTTATTTTTATTAATTATGATATAAGAAATGCTGTAAGATCTTATTCATTAAACAGCCTTTTTTTTGTAATCTCCAAAAAATTGTTAAAAAAGATTTAATTGATGGGTTTCGTTTTTTATGGGTTATAAACCTTTTAATAAGGTTTATTTAAAACAAAAAATATTTTTAGATTGAATGAATTTTTTTGAGATAATAATTACTAATTAACCTTTAGCTAGGGGAGACGAAGTGGATTCGTAACTGTCCCACAAGTATTTGCGCGTAAGTTTATAAAATGAACCCAAATGGAATTTGAACTCGGTTCTTCACACATCCAAGCTTACAGCATCTGGTGTTCAAAAAGAATTCGTTCCTTTTTTTTTTTTTTTTGAAGAGTGGAGAAGTTAATTTCAATAGTCTCTTTAAATATTTCATCTTTTGCTTTTTAACTGACTTTACAAGACGAGGTCTTCTTTTCTTCTAATGCCGCAAATTGGTCCATGATTTGACATAAAACTTTGGTAATAAAATCTAAAATGTGCAAAATTATGGAACTGTTCTATACGTTAAGAAATGATTAAATAAAAATAGAGAGTAAGTGTTTGTATTTCCTTTCGTTTTGCAATTGAATATTTTCATTATAGAAAAACGTATATGTATTAAAGTGAATTGGTTGCTTTTATTTCCTGGTAGACGGTTTTGATTGAAAAATTATCCTCACTGAGTCAAACACGAAACAATTGTAACTTGAAGTTTAAGAAAAGATCAGATTTTATTTGAAGAATAAAAACATGGCGTCCACTGACTTCATCACATTTATTTTTTTTCACTTCGCTTTTTTTTCTTTTCGCAGTTCTTTCTTTCTTTAGTTCTTTCTTTCTTTTTTGTTCTTTGCTTCTTTTTTCTTTCTTTCTTTCTTTCTCCTTTCATTATTTATCTCTCTCTCTTTCTTTCTTTCTTTCTTTGTTTTGTTCTTTCTTTCTTTTTATATTCCATTCTTTATCCTTTTCTTATCATTATATTCTTTCTTTCTTTTTGTTCTTTCTTTCTTTCTTTTTATATTTCCTTCTTTATCATTTTTTTCGTCATATTTTTTTCTTTCTTTTTTCATTCATTGATGGATTTATTCTTTCTTTCTGTCATTCTTTCTTTCTCGCTTTCTTTCTTTTGTTTTTTTTTCCTTTTCCAACAGGAACATTTTACTTCAATTTTCTTTCTTTTTTCTTGCTTTCTTTTTTTCATCTTTTTTTTCTTTGTGTCTTTCTTTCTTTCTTTCTTTTTTTCTTTCAACTTATTTTCCAACAGGAACTTTTTATTACATTTTCCCGCTACTTTGTTTTTCTTTCTCTCTCTATTTTTTCTTTCTTTCTTCCTTTTTTCTTTTTTCTTCCTTTTTTCTTTTTTCTTTCTTTTTGTTCTTTCTTTCTCCTTTTCTTTTCATTATTTTCTTTCTTTCTTCTTCTTTCTTTCTCCTTTTCTTTTCATTATTTTCTTTCTTTCTTTCTTTCTTTTCCTTTTCTTTTCTCCTTTTTTCTTTTTTCATTTTTTTTCTTATTTTCTTCTTCTTTCTTTCTCCTTTTCTTTTCATTATTTTCTTTCTTTCTTTCACCTTTTCTTTTCATTATTTTCTTTCTTTCTTCTTCTTTCTTTCTCCTTTTCTTTTCATTATTTTCTTTTTCTTTCTTTCTCCTTTTCTTTTCATTATTTTCTTTCTTTCTTCTTCTTTCTTTCTCCTTTTCTTTTCATTGTTTTCTTTCTTTCTTTCTTTCTCCTTTTCTTTTCATTATTTTCTTTCTTCCTTTCTTTCTATATTTTTCTTTGTTTTACAACATGAACAACTTACGTAATTCTTTTTGCTACTCTATTCTTCTTTCATTCATCTTCAAACATTATTTTTAATATTTTATTTCTTCCTCATTGTTCCTTATAAATTTTCTCTCTTTGTTCTCTAATTTAATTCCCTCGTCTTTGTCTTTTTCGTTCCTCACCTCATCGTCTTTTTTTGCCTTTCACTATCCATGTTAACAAAAGCTGTCAACAGATAAAAAGTAAATGACCAATAAATGAAAATAAAGCTTTATCGATGAACAGTAATCAGGAATAAAGAAAGAATGAAACCTGTGAAGCTACGTCGGTCTGTTCTCGCCAACCCAACCGGTCGTCAGACAATTTTCAACAAGAATCACGCGAGGCTTTAATGATTCTCGCCCACCGGCCACGAGAAGCGGGAAAACTAAGACTTGGGAACACGCAAAAAGATCGCAAAAACATGGCGATTAGATAAACAGCGCGCATGTGCGTCAGTGTGATAATATGCTTGGAAACACGCGACATGGACTGTCACAATTTCAATAGCCCACGCGTCAGCAATTGGTGGAGCGTAAATCTCACTGAAATAATTTCTTCCATGCAATCTCTATCTTTGTTATTGTGAGCATTATTATCAATCGCAATTATTTGGCCAATTTATCGTTTCGCTGTGGCTGTCTGTCCGCCATTATATCATCGTCTAAGAATTCTTACATTTATTCTGACAAAGTTAGACATTTCTGTTCCTTTATGCTGTTTTCTCTCTTGATCCACACTATATTTCATCTATTGAATTGTTTTTAATTTTTTATTTAAATCAAACGTAGTTTTATGCAAATATATTTCTTTATTTAGATACATGCATACACACAATACACACAGAGTACAAATTGAAAAAATATAAATAACCTATTTTAATTATTAATCATTTCATTATATATATATATATATATATATATATATATATATATATATATATATATATATATATGTGTGTGTGTGTGTGTGTGTGTGTGTATATATATGTATATATATATATATATATATATATATATTGAGTGTCCGGTCCCGTTGAGTACATTTTTGACTTAATACTTCAGCTCCTTTACCGTGACACCAGTTTCTCTTGGACACTTTTGCTATACCGGCAAGCCTTTCCATAATGAATTTTTCTTGTTGTCATTTTAGATCTTGGCTAGATTATCTACCCTCCACAATGTGCGAGACTTTTTTGCTTGT